GTGTCAGTGGGTAGGTGTGGGTGTGCGTGTGTGAGTGCACAGGTGTGGGTATGCACGTGTGAGTGTGTGAGGGCAGGTGCGGGTGTGCATGTGTGTGAGGGCAGGTACGGGTGTGCACGTATGTGAGTGGGCAGGTGCAGGTGTGCACGTGTGAGTGTGTGAGGGCAGGTGCGGGTGTGCACGTGTGTGTGAGTGGGCAGGTGGCAGGTGCGCATGTGTGTGTCAGTGGGCAGGAGCGGGTGTGCACGTGTGTGTCAGTGGGCAGGTATGGGTGTGCACGTGTGTGAGTCAGTGGGCAGGTGTGGGTGTGCATGTCAGTGGGTAGGTGTGGGTGTGCTTGTGTGAGTGCGCAGGTGTGGGTATGCACGTGTGAGTGTGAGGGCAGGTGCGGGTGTGCATGTGTGTGTGAGTGGGCAGGTGCGAGTGTGCACGTGTGTGTGAGGGCAGGTGTGGGTGTGCATATGTGAGTGGGCAGGTACGGGTGTGCACGTGTGTGTGAGTCAGTGGGCAGGTGTGGGTGTGTGTGTCAGTGGGTAGGTGTGGGTGTGCGTGTGTGAGTGCACAGGTGTGGGTATGCACGTGTGAGTGTGTGAGGGCAGGTGCGGGTGTGCACGTGTGAGTGGGCAGGTGCGGGTGTGCACGTGTGTGTGAGTGGGCAGGTATGGGTGTGCACGTGTGTGTGAGTGGGCAGGTGCGAGTGTGCACGTGTGTGTGAGGGCAGGTGTGGGTGTGCATGTGTGAGTGGGCAGGTGCAGGTGTGCACGTGTGTGTGAGTCAGTGGGCAGGTGTGGGTGTGTGTGTCAGTGGGTAGGTGTGGGTGTGCTTGTGTGAGTGCGCAGGTGTGGGTATGCACGTGTGAGTGTGTGAGGGCAGGTGCGGGTGTGCACGTGTGTGAGTGGGCAGGTGCGAGTGTGCACGTGTGTGTGAGGGCAGGTGCGGGTGTGCACGTGTGAGTGGGCAGGTGTGGGTGTGCACGTGTGTGTGAGTCAGTGGGCAGGTGTGGGTGTGTGTGTCAGTGGGTAGGTGTGGGTGTGCATGTGTGAGTGCACAGGTGTGGGTATGCACGTGTGAGTGTGTGAGGGCAGGTGCGGGTGTGCACGTGTGTGTGAGTGGGCAGGTGTGAGTGTGCACGTGTGTGAGTCAGTGGGCAGGTGTGGGTGTGTGTGTCAGTGGGCAGGTGTGGGTGTGCGTGTGTGAGTGCACAGGTGTGGGTATGCACGTGTGAGTGTGTGAGGGCAGGTGCGGGTGTCGGGGGCTGGTGCAGCAGGCACCTCTGGTTCCTGGACCAAGGACCCAGCAGCCCTGGCCCTGGGATGTCCGGCCCTGGCCCCAGACTCGCAGCTGCCCAAGGGCACTGGCCATGCCTTGGGCCCAAGCCTCCCTCCCTGCCTGTTTGGGGAGACAAGCGCCAGCTCACTGTGAGATCCGAGAGGGACATGGGGGGCCGACGGGCTGAGCAGTTGAGCACAGGGGTTCTGGTGGTTACAGGCCTTGCTCACTTTCCAAACCTGACCACCAAGCTCACAGCATCCCCGTCCCCAAGGTGCCTGTGGGGCGTGCGACCTGCTCTAGGGTCTAGCAGAGGAAGTGGAGGCCAGGGAGGCAGATCACTTCTAAGGGCCCCCAGAATAGAGAAGTTTCAGGAGAAAAACAGCCATGTCATTGTGAGGGCCCCGCACGGAGGCCCACAGATGACTGTCCGTGGGGGCTGGTGATCCTCCCAGCCATCGCCTCCAACTTTGCCTCGATGCTTGTTTATGCGGTGGGGGTGGCTGGTGCAGGAGGGGACTCCTGGTGAGTCTGGGGGGCTGGGGAACTGGGAAGTGAGCCCATGCAGACCTAGGCTCCTGGCCGGGAACCTGGAGGCTGGCGCTCTGAGACCAACAGGGGCCCCAGTCCCCCACCTCTTCCCTGTCCTGGGTTGGCTAACACCAGCCTTCCCCACTGGGGCCAGTGAGGGGTGCAGCCCAGAGAGCCTGAGGCCTCAGAGTCTTGGTTCTGGGGGCCTTACCCCACTCAGAAGAGCTGTGAGCAGAGGGGCAAGGCAGACCACCAGCCCACCCACCCATCCTCCCGGACATCCCCTCTGTCCAACCCTGGCTCCCTGCCGTTCCCCCCATGACCCCCCACAGCCCCTTTGCCTGCTCCGCCCACAGGCCACTGGCCCCGGAAGCCAGAGCATCACATCAGCTTTCTGTTTGGAACCTTCCGGGGACTTTTCACCACCTCTCCTGGCTCCTCCCCAGGCACTGCTCCAGTCCCCCAATGACTGGGCGGCCCCTTCCTCCCACATCTCAGTGCAAATGTCACCCTCACGGGGCCCCTGGCCACCAGCAGGGGGCACCCTCATGGGTCCCCCATCATAATGCCCTTCTCGGTTCTTCACACCATCTGCCAGGCTGCCGTTGACTTTCTTTGCCTGTTTACCCAGCACCACCTGTCTCGACCCCTAGAATGGAAACGGGTCAGGCGCCTGACGTGCTTTGGGCCCTCTCCCAGCAGCCCGGTCCCCAGATGTCCACACAGCCCCCACAGTCACGTCCCTGAGCTCCCCCCCCCCCGGCCCATGGCTCAGGGGACACTAAGGGACAGGCCACCACCCTGCTGCCCTGAGCACTGACCCGGGGAGGTGTCTTGGCCGCAGGGCTTGACCGCAGCCAGAAGCCAGGCCTCCAATGTACTGGGGTCCGCAGAGCAGGCAGGATGGGCATGCAGGGGACCCAGAGAGTGGGCAGCGGGGGAGATCGGGTGAGGAGAAGGCCACGTGCCCCAGCTCCGTGCCTCCCTGAGGGCTGGGTGGGGGTCAGAAGGCCACAGACCCCGCCCTCCATCCCAAGCATGCTTGGTAGCACACAGACAGAAGACCCCCACACGTGACCCAAGTTTCCACAGGAACCTGGGGATGCATAGAACATGCAGAGAACAGGACAAGGGTCCACAGCTCTGCATGAACCAACCTTCCACCTCCATCCCCTACTCTCAGAAGACACTCCCCGCATTTTGGTAGCATTCTCCAGAAACTGCCAAGGGGGCCACACCGAAGCCCCTGGTACTCCCCCCTGCCAGGCCCCTGCCCCACGGGCCCCTGTCCTGTGGCCACAGCCCACCCTCGGCAGCCCGCCTGGATGCCTGGGCGCATCCACTCTCCTTGGGCCCCAAGAGCCGCTCCCTCTTCCTGAAAATGCTGCCCCACCAGGAAATGAGCCACTCCTCTGGTCTGAGAGAACACGAGCAGGGAGGACCCACGTGGGCCAGCCGCGCTGGGTCCCACCCCCTCCCCACCCTTCCTAGCTGTGCGTCCCAAGGCGAATTACTTAACTGCTCTGTGTCTCAGTTTCTCCTCTGTAAAACGGACAGCACTCCATCAAGGACACCGAGACCATTCATACACAGACAGCAGCGGGCCGGCCTGGTATGCAGAGTGCCCAGCTAATTCCGGTCATTACAGAGCGGCATGCACAGCCTGTCCTGGGGGATCACTAACAGCTTCCCTGGCCACCCTCAGCCATGTCCCGGTTCAGACACTCATCTCCTCAGCCCCCCTGAACACGGGCCTGTGGCAGAGACCACTGGGGCTCTCCAGCATCCGT